TGCAAATTTCAAGACTCCTGAGTTTGAGAAATATAAGGGGCACACTTGTCTAAGAAGTCATTTGGTGATGTACTTTCGAAAGATGTCTGCTTACACAAAGAATGACAAGCTGCTTATCCATTGTTTCCAAGACAGTCTGAGTGGAGCTTCATTGAAATGGTATATGGGACTTGAGAAAGGTCGTATCCAATGCTTCCAAGATCTTGTTGATGCTTTCATAAAGCAATACAAATACAACCTCGACATGACACCTGATCGTCGCCAACTACAAAATATGTCTCAGAATGAGAAAGAATCTTTCAAGGAGTATGCTCAACGATGGAGAGAAATGGCATCTCAAGTTGAACCACCTCTGGTAGAGAAAGAGTTAACTGGTTTGTTCATGGATACTTTGTCCCCCTTCTATTGGGAGAAGATGATTGGTAGTGTGTCGTCCAGCTTCACAAACCTGGTGACTATTGGCCAAAGATTAGAAGAAGGAATCAAGAATGGAAAAGTGTCTAAAGCTGCTGAATCTTCTAATGGTGCAAAGAAATACCTTGGGAACTTTCAGAAGAAGAAAGAGGTAGAAGCCAATGTTGTCTCGACTGAGAGAAGAGGACCTCGCCGTAGGCCTCAATACGTTGATCAACCACAAGTAGCGGTTGTTACTCCTGCGGTCAATGCTCAACCAGTTCATGTTCCTCAACAACAGAATCAGAATCAGAATCAGAATCAGAATAGGGCTCAGTTTGATCCCATCCCTATGACATACACTGAATTGTATCCTGCATTGGTGCAGAAGGGCTTGATTACGACTAGGCCTCTGATTCCTCGAAATCCTCCTCCAGCCGGATTCAGATCTGACCTTCATTGTGAATTTCATCAAGGAGCTGCCGGTCATGATTTAGAAAGTTGTTATGCTTTGAAAAACAAAGTGCAAGAATTGGTGAAAGCAAATATTCTCACTTTCAAGGAGGCAGGTCCTAATGTTATCAACAACCCTTTGCCAAAACAAAGTGGCTGAAGACTGAGTCGGGATACCCTCAAGTCACTTCCTAAAGCTAGTGTTTCAGACAGGACAACTCATCCTTGTTACTGATTAGTCACTAGGCCATGTTTCTTTCTGTTTGCATTTGTCCCTTGTTTATGTTAAAATTGTTGCTTTCAAATTTTGTTTGTGCTTTCATGTTAATTCTAATGAAATGAGCATTGCAATATTTTGATTCAAATCATTTTCATTTACTGCTTTCAAATACATTTCTCTTGTTTACTCCCTTTATCAAGCTTTTGTTTATGCAAAGATCTGAGGGAGGATGATGAAAACGAAATACCCATAATTGTTGCTGGTATGCTTTCGAATAAAACTTTGCTGAGGATATACAGGCATTGTTTCAACTCCCAAACACTGGAGAAATAAGGAAGTTAATCCCTCGTTCACCCCTTTGAGCCTAGAAGTTAGAGTTTCTTTCTATACAGAAAAACCCACAATCTTAACCCGGGGATGGGTAGTTCTCAGTTAATCTGGTTGTGCATTCAATTACAAGAGAAATCATGCAAGACACCTTTCAACAAAGGTCACGATCAAGCTTTCCTTTGCACACAACAAGAAGTGTCAAAGATGCTCTCAAACAAAAATGACGAAGATGGTTCCCAGTAATCATTGAGCAAGGCAGTCATTATCTTTCCAAAAAAAATGAAATGAAAAGAAAAATCAAAATAAAAGTCTCGCTAAGTCAAAACCTATGAAGGAGACTTAGGCAAAAAATGGGGCATCCCGCTGACTGTAATCTCAAATGAAACAGTTCAGGCAAAAACTGGGGCATCCCGCTGACTGTAATCACAAATGAAACAGTTCAGGCAAATGTTGGGAATAATAAATACAATCAGAAGAGGTCTTCAAATCCTCAAAATTCTCCACCAGAATTGACAAAAGTCCTCAAAACAACAAAAATATGTAAGAAGAAATGACTGTCATTCTCAAGAATCCTTTAGTTTCTGAGCCATCGTCATTGCTGCCATCAGTGCATTTCCAAAATCTCTTGGAACCTGAGTGCATATTCTGAATTAACTGAACGTAGGACTGGAGAACATCACGAAGATTGGGTTGGGTACAAATAAACTTTGAGCATTTATCCTTTATTTCTTAAACCGTGAACCAGACCACATTACAACCCTCAAAAGACCTAATTGAAGCCAGGTTTCTTTTGAAAGCATACTACAGCAAGGTTGCGTAAACTGACTCCTATGATCTTTTGCGAATTGTTGTACCCCAAAATTTGCCCTCCCATATTTCTCAAAATATTTCAAGAAAAATTCACAAGTCCAACCCGGCGCGTCATATTCAGGTGTTCTTTCCCCAAGATATCTCTGATAACGTATTCTCAAATTCAGGTTCGGCTCAAGAGATAATTCTTTAAAGAAGGTATCCAAATGTGTGAGTTTTCTCGAAGAAATATGGTGAAAAAGTATGCTGAAAGTGCAGTTCTTACGCGCTAAAAAATTCATAACTTGAAGACCGTGACACGTTTTGAACCCATTCCGGTGGCCAAAATTCCTTCTTGACATTATCTACGTTTTCATCTCTCACAGATGGAAGCCAATTTCGATCTTAAGGTCTTCAAAAATGTGGATTTATCAAGTATTTTCATACAGAAAATTTGTGACAGAAGTTTATTTGCGTCATGTTCAGAAAATCATAACTTGGTCGATTTTCATCGTATCGAGCTGGTTCCGGCGCCAAAATTTCAAAAATTGAGTTGGCTACATTTTCAAAGAAGGTATTCAGTTCAAACGGTATTCAAAAGGCCTTCGTTTTTTGCTCAGAGTGCGTGACACGCTGAAAATCCTGAATGCTGAATATTATTTCATCTGGGCCGAAACTTCGATAATTCATAACTCGGTCAATTTTTATCGGATTGGGCTCATATTTTTACACAAGGTCACTGACTCAGAGATCTACAACTTTTCTTCAAAAGTCGAGACCAAATTATGCACCGATCAACACCAGTTTTTTATTGAAGAACGTGTCAGAGTCGACACTGGAGCCCAAAATAAGTTTGTCTGAGCTGAAACTTCAAAAATTCATAACTAATTCACTGTTTATCCGATTGAGCCGATTTTCAGACAGGAATTATTTCTCGATATAGGCTACATTTTGTTTTCACATTTCAACTTCAAAAATTGCACTTAAGTCCCTACGATTTAGCCTGGAAAGTGACGAACTCAAGTGAACATTGGAGGCCCAATTGCATATTCAAAGCCCATTTTCTTTACCCTAATTTCCATTATATAATCGCATTCTTTTCACACGAACAGAGCATGAAAAAAAAAAACCTTGCCACAACGCTATCAGAATATCAAATTCTTTCAAGAACCCTAAAACCTTGAAATCCTTATTACAAATCCCTCTCTCACTACAAACAAGTCATCTCAGTTACAAACCAACATCTCACTACTTCTTCAGTAAGGGTAAGGCTGGCTTGATCTCCATGATCAAAAGGGCATAAAAGCATTCATGTCACTACTTTTCCAGTAAGGGTAAGATTGATTTGATCTCCATGATCAAAAGGGTATAATCATTCATACATGTCATATTGGCCTAAACATTAAATTTCTTCATATATTAGCTTTATTTGTATTTTAGGATATATAGTAATTTATTTAATGTGTTCATGAGATTCAACACTGCAGATTTAGACAGGATCTCATGCAGGTTCATTAAGAAACGTTGAGGTCAAAACACAAATGGTCAAAAGCCAAAAGCCAAATGGCCAAAACAGAACAGCTTACACATGACACCAATACATGGCGAGACAGATATCCTGAGAAGGTTAAGGAACGTGGAGGCCAGAACACAAATGGCCAAAAGCCAAAACACAAATGGCCAAAAGCCAAATGGCCAAAACAAAACAGTTTACGCATGACGCCAACAGTTGTTTCACCCCTCCAATCAGGCTCGTATACTCCTAAACTCTCTCTCTCTATTTGTATTATGTTCCTTTAATTAATTAATCGTTATTATTTTTATTAATCACTAACCAATTAACATTTTTTCCTAATAAAATCAAAAACACAAAAAAATATTTTATTTATTAAAATTAACTTCATCACTTTTATTTTTGTAAATAAATTAATTTGATCAATTTAACTTTAATTAGATTTAACTTTTAATATTTTTTGCAATATTTAAAATCAATTTAGAATATTAGGTTTTTATTAGCATTAATTCAATTTATTTTATTTCTTTTAAAAACTCAAAAGTCCAAAAATATTTTCATTATTTAATTTAATTTAATTGTTCATTTAATTTAATTCCATTTAATTCAAAAATAAACAAAAATCCTTTCTTTAATAAAAAAAGGGTCAAAACTCAAAAAATTCGCATCCGATTTAATTTCCCGCGCACGATCTATTTTATCATATTATTGTATATGTTTCCCGGAATGTAATAACTTTAATTAGGACTTGATTTATTTATTGCTTTATTTTACTTTCCGCTATTTAAATTAAAGGGTTTGTTTTTGGCGATGTAAATACCCGACGCCTTGTAATAGTTTAGTTTTATTTTCCGCAACTATTAAACTGCTAGATGTATGTTAACTAGGCTATGCATGACACACTACAAGAAAATTGGCAGATTGCGACAGGTATTTTTGTAGATTACGACGGTTAAAACCGTCGCAATTTGCTTTCCACGACGGTTGCTTTACCGTCACAGAAGTGTGTGTCCCCAACCTATTTCGCGACGGTTACAAAAACTGTCGTTCAAGTTTACGACGGGTTGATACCGTCGTGACTATCTTTTGAGTTTCTTATAATTATTGATGGCGACGGTTCGATACTGTCGTGAATATCTTTTGAAATTGATTAAATTGTTTATGGCGACGGTTCGATACCGTCATGACTTTTGTTGATTATTTTTAATTGTTGATTACGACGGTTCGGTACTGTCGCCATGACTTTTGTTTATGTCTTGATTTTTTTTTTTTTTCTATTATATATATTTTTTATTTAAATTATTATCTATGTAAAGGTATTTTCTTAGCACAGGCAAGATCAGTTACTGCTCTAAAGAAGGCATCCTCCCTTGGGCCAAAAGAACCAGCCTTGAATGTAACGTCGTTCGAAACAACCAATATTGTCCTTCCAGATGGGAATTCAGGAGTACACATTTCCATCAACCAGGCTACCATGCCAACATCATTAAGTCCAGGAGGACACTCTGCAAGAACAAGAGAAGTACCCCAGCTACCTTCTTTCTCTGAAAATTTAAGCTCAGTTACTTTTAAGAGATCCTTATCTTTGGCTCTTTGAACTCCTGTATGTTGAATTGACCATGACTGTTCCAAGGATGTTTGAAACGCCTGCAAGAAGCATTTCTCATCAGATAACCTAATTTGACTTACAAAGGGGAAATTATCACTAAATTCATTCAAAATAACTTACAAGGGGAAAATCATAGCAGTATGTGGTGCTACTCTTTCTTGCTGCGAGATGTTTTCGGTCAATAACTCCCAAAGGTTGATAGTTTTCGTTCACTGGTACACCATGCAGTGGACCCTTTACTGTGACTGAACTGTAAACCACTTTATGAGTGGTGGCATCCTCCATTTCTCGATATATCTGAATTTTAAAAATCATGAATCTGAGAGGGAAGAGCATGCAGGAAGTTTTCCTTTAAATTTTTAAGAAACTAAAAAACTTACATGTACAGTGGATGTATGACCAGTAACATTGTTTACAATGACCCTCCAAGCACCATTTGCCTGTCCACATGCTGTAATCCAGAGCTTCACTTCCCATACAAAAACTCCTAATCTATGCATTCTTACACCAACAGAGGAATGGATTTCCTGTGCCAGTTCTTCCAAGATTGTCTCTACTGTTGTTTCTTCTTGACCGGCATCTATGTTGATTTTTCTGGTATTAACATCCAAAATTGTAAGAACGAGATGAAATCTTTTTTACGTTACGCTAATAGAATATAAGTATTATTAAAAATATGTATATGTACGGAGAAGTTTGCAGTAATAATTACTTGGAATAGTGGACAAGATCATCTACTTGTTGCTCACGTAGGACGTAGAGGTACATATGAGCATGTTCAGATTTGATGGTGGTATTATGTGAGTTAAGTTCCAACTCCTCCATTGCACCCATTAAGGACCTAAAAATGCTCCTTGAAGTAAAGGACATGTCCAATTGGGTACGAGACGTTTCTGCATCTACCCTTTGATAAGCAGAGTATCCTTCATTTGTGGTTGGCTGTCTGAGAAGTGTTCGAAGAAACATTCTTTGAATTGGTTGTGGCTTGGTATCCACAACAGTGTAGAGGTGCCATTGACGATCACGGGATGGTGTATAGCGTATATTCTCATAGCCTTTAAGTTTGTCCTGTAATCAGACAAATATTAAATGAGTTAAAGATCAAGCATATGAGTGAAATATGTTTCTTTTGCACCTTCTATAATAAAACAGGAACTTGAAGCGTGAAATAACTGACCAATTCAAGATAAATGGATAGCGGAGGTTCCAGATGCCGCAACAAGGGTTCCTCTTCATAATATAGCTTTTCTGCTGACCAGTGGAAGGAATGCCTCATTGGAGCACGCCCTTCATCCCTCTGTATGATACAGCTAATATCTCCAACACCGGCAGCATGTATTATGGACCCTACTTCCTGCTCTCTGAGTATTTTGGCCAACTTATTGATTCTTTCTTGAGCCTGATCTTCATCACCACTGCAAAAGACCAAAAAGTTAAGCTACACTACAATACAACCATTGATGCTTTGACAAATCAAAGAAAAAACAAAAAAACAAAAATTAGGTTCGAAAAAATGTATTTAATTTCCGAAACTGCACCTGTCTTGAAGTAAACTCATTTGGTTGTTGATGCCCACTAGTCCAATATGCATCATATTACCGTGCTTATTTGAGTCGACAGAACCACTTTTAAGTGCATCGTGAAAGTTATTGGTTGCTTCCCTTAATGCAGCACTGATAATTGCTGGCAAAAATTGAAGAGATTTAATTACAACCATCACTCCCCATTTCTAAGAACTCCCACGTAGCAATAAGGCCAGATCTGTGCCACTGCATCCTGATGCTGCCTTTGACAAGATACGGCTGGTAAAGCCTACGTATATAAGTTTCCACAACCCTCCTTTGAAGGGTGTTAACACTGTGATCAAATAAGCCCACAAGAGCATCTTCAACTGCCAAAGGAGCGCTCACAAGGTCCTCCATTCGGTCATTAATGGCACCCTTCCTCTTCGGAGTATCAATATTTTCACCATCCTCAGTAAACATTTCTAGTTCAGAAAGACTTCGTGCAATGCTGGATCGAAGTTCACTCAGTTTAGTTTGTTCAAGAAGTTGACTAGCCTTAAGAGCCAACTGCGTCAAGATGATCACAAATCAGGATTCGAGTCAAAATGATCTAAAGAAATTAAAAATATCATACACAAAATAAATACTAAAAGAGGCACTGTAACACTTTAAAATATCACATGATGCAGGTCAAAGAAACCTCTATATAGCATTACCAACCTCAGAATAAATAATATGATTGAGTTGGGAGAATCGGATCAATTGATCCCTATAGGCAGCAGGATTAGGGTAAACCAGTTTATCCATTAGTCGCAGTATCAGCTTATTTTTGCTCTTGACACCCTGAAACCCATGAAATGCAGTTAATATAATTGCAATACCGTGTTAACAAGACATCCAGGAGGAAAATCACTCAAGCTGAGTATGTTATAAAAGTGTATACCTGATGAGAGAGCACAATATCTACAATCTTCAACAAATCTTTCTTGTATTGAAGACGGAGTCGTTCAATTACATCAGCCTAGATGGCAGGGGAAAGGGGAATTGTTATGAATATTCGGGGAAACTGAATAATTAGAAATACATTGTACGTCTTTTATGTAAAAATTCCTTCTTAGCTTAAAAGTAGTTGAATGATAAACAAATAGTTCAATGAAATGAACATAAAAATGAAGAAAAATAAAAGAGTTGATGGGTTTTTTGTTATGAGCACAGAGACATACAACGAATAGTTGATTCCAGTGTGTTGTAAAAGCTAAATAAGAAAAACAACTAATCATGCATTTTTTGAACATCATCTAGAAAAGCTAATTTGGTTGGTAGAAGTCAAAAGGTCATAACAGATTAAGTTGCACACATAAAATTAGTACAAGCAATCAAATAATCACACTAACCTGTATATTATCACTAAATAGTTCTTCGACTGAGAGATACTCTTCGAAAAGAGATTGTACAATTTTATGGGCATGGCTCTCTCTTCCACCCTCATAAGACTTTACAAGACTCATCAGAGGTTCAACTAGTCTTTCTAAGGCTCCTTTTTCATTATCAGCACAGGAGAAAAGATGATCCTGCAGTATAAAACACCCACCATGAATTTATTTGTATTAAAACGGAAAATATCAGAATGAGCAATTCAGGAACATCAACTCACTTCAAGAATTCCCTTCAATAATTTGGCAGGGAAATCAATATTTTGGGAGCTTGAATTAATCTCGAATTCCTTATATTTAGCTTCCAACTACAAACCAGAATAGTTGAAGGGTAGGTCAGATCACGTCAGAAAACATTAAATCAGAGTGAAAACGGGCAAGGTGTCCCTTTACCTCAATTCTTAGATCTTTAGGAAGACGGGTTGCCAGAACTGCAAAGCATTCTTGCCATTGAAGGAAAGGTAATTCAGGGCTGTCAAGGCAATTGAGCAAACTTTGCACAACCTGACACAGATGTCTAGCTTGTTAATAAGAAAGCCAAATACAAGTTTCGAATAATAATAAAATCCAAAAATAATGTCAGAATAATTTCGTAAAATAATTAAGGGGAGGAATTTACTCACTTCATCAATATTGTGCTCGTAGCCAGCAAGAATCATCTGTGCAGCATTTAAGCTTGCCGCACATTTCTGATGAACTTTACCTGAAATTGCTGTAGGAGGGCCCAGGATTGGGAAGCTCCCAGTGAAGGGTTCTGCCTTTCTTACAGCAGAAGGATCATCTAGATCAAGCCTTGCTATAAGTTCACCAGCCTGTATGGCTTGACCTTCAGCCATTCTGAAATGAATAATCCCAGAAGCAGGGGAGAGAAGAGGCATACACATCTTCATGACCTCAACTTCAGCATATGGTGTGTCTGCATCAATGTGACTGTCGTCTGCAACCAAATATCCAAAACCTGACATCCAGAGATTTCAAAATAAGATTACAAAACTTATTCCTTGAGCAGATAAAAAAGTGGGTTGATTTAAAGTAGCAGAAACAAGTTCAACAATAATTAAGTTCAACTACCTCAATCTTCTGTGCTTTCACAATAAGAATATCCATATTTTCCTGCAAAAACTCAGTTTAGACTTTGGATTAGAAAAGAAGAATAAAAGTTACAAATTGTTTTAGACATAGAACTTAAGTTTCACATAACAAACCCTAAAATAAGTCGAAATAAATACAATACCGATTGTGCAGAGGGAAAGAATACAACAAATGTTGAAGATGTTGTATGTTGTAGGGTTTTAAATCGTTATTCCCTTCTGTCTATTTTCTTTGTGTTATTACTCGATACCCTTTCCCCTTGTGATTATGAACGCTATAACTTGTATTGCTCATTGAATCGTGAATAAATTGGGGTTTTAGGGTTTATTGTTGGTGATTGGGTTTAATGTCGATATGAATGCTTGTTGTGATGTTTGAATCACAAAGAGCTCAACCCTAAGATTCATGTGAATCTCCAACGGTGAAATCAATGTTAAAGAATGAGAGAGATATGTGAAGATGAGAACAAAGAAAAAGTGTTATAGAAAACTTACCGGTTGGAAGATGAGAGATGTTCGAAGAATAGTGATGCAGGAGGACATTAGAATGTGGTTCAATTTTCATGAGTTGAAAAAACAAAGCAGAACCTGAAGATTGTTGGTTTTGACGTAGGACCAAACACGCATGAAACAGGTTAATCGAGAAGTCTGAGATTGACCGACGAAGTCTCTGAGAGTGGGAGGAAGGTTAACGAGATCGATCAAGTTTGCGAGCTTTTTAGGGTTATCAGTAACGGCTTTCTTCATTCGCTGAGGAAGCATTCTTCACTTCAATACACGATTTGTAATGGCTGCGAGATGGATTTATCAAAATTCTAACTTCAGAGGAAATGTGCAACTCAATTTGTGTTTAGTTAGGATTAGGTATAAATTTAACAATAACATTGTGTTTCAACTATATATGTAAATATTATGTCAAGCTCTATGTATATACTTTAGCTCATGATAAATGATTATTTAGGTATAAACTTAAAATCATTTTTCAACATCAATTAAATCCACATATCATGTTATAAAAGTCATGTCTTTCGAGGCATAACCATAAGTTACCCTTGGTCTAGTCCTATCAGACCGTCTCGACATCTCATAGATCCTCCACAAGCATAATACAAATATAACAAGCATTGAGAAAAAGATGAAAGATTAAATTTATTTGATTGATTAAATTGAACATAACACCATTGTCGTATCAAATTCATAGAATATATAATAATGCATAAACTTAACCTTAACAAGAGAGAACTTAAATATACATAACAATTATAATTAGATAAAATATATAAGTTAGCAAGAGATTTTTAAAGGTTTTGGGTGCGACGGTTGTTTTACCGTCGTGAAATGAATTTTAGGACGGATAATTTTACCGTCGTGAAAGGTTTAAGGGTGCGACGGGTGCTTTACCGTCGTGATATGCCTTTTAGGACGGTTAATTTTACCGTCGTGACTAGTTGTTGGTGAAAAATCAATGTTAAAAGTGTTAAATGGGGGCCGACGGTTGTTTTACCGTCGTAATAATAATATTATGATGGTTAAATATACCGTCGCAAAATAAATATTAGGGACGGTTGGTGTCAACTGTCGTAAACATTGTCTCTATATGTCAATTACGACAGTTATCACATAACTGTCGCAATTTTTGTGTCGTTAAAAACTAATTTTCTTGTAGTGACAAGACTTGTCTTAATTTAAAATCAATCCGTAGCTCACAAATGCATGTTCAAAGATAAACATTAACTGAAACAACACACATGCACATGCCACTCCTAGGGTACGCCTCACTGGTTGCCTCGAACGTGGTCGTCAAGCATAGGGTGTTTTAGAGGTCGCCCTCCTGTCTAAGATCCAGTTGCCTCGAAACGGTTGCCTCGTATAAAAAGGATCTAGGACATTAGGGTTACTTCTAAGGTGTCCTACTATTGCTTCGGTGACCACACTGTCCCTATAATCGAATTGACCCGAACACCTCCAACGGTGGTGCTACCTACCTCTCAATGGTGGGATGGCGCTACCTTAGGGACTTTTACACAGCCTAATTCCTTAGGGTAGGTAGATCTCATGGGTACTTGCTCTCTCAAAAACAAAACAAAAAACAATCTTTTCACACTGACACTTTCAAAAAGTTTTCAAACAAATTTTTCATACACTCTTGAGGACAGATACAAGAGTTACTTAGAAATTTTTCAAACGAAACTTTTTCAAAACCCACACACACTTGAAAAGCAAACCATTTTTGAAAACATAAGAGAAAGTACCTAAGAGCCCGTGGATAACAACGGATAGAAAGGGTGCTAACACCTTCCCTTTCTATAAATCTACCTCCCGAACCTAGAAACATTCTCAAAGAAGGAATTTTGCTGTGCTTTTGTCCTTTCCATGTTGGAGAACATAAAAGACGGTGGCGACTCTTGCTTACCGCGACATTTCGCGAACCAGCTAAAAAACAGTCAGTTCTATTTCCACCGATCACACGAATCATTTGTTTTGGTTTCATACCTTTGCTTTCACTTTAAAAGTATAAACCACTGTGTTTTAACCAGTGATGCATTTTCTATACACCAATAACATCATTTCAAAAATGATTTTGGATTCAAAACTTTTTCATGAACTTTGCATTAAAAATACCATGTTTGAATAAACAATTTTGCTTGCAAACAAGCTTTCCTCATCAAGGAATTTCAAGCAGTTGAGAAACTTGGTCAGTGATCCTATCAGGGGCAAGTATCTTCCAGATCCTGTTGTGAATCAGTTCAAGATTTACTGCTCAATGCAAGTTTTCTCAGAATTGGCCAGCCAGGAAATCATTTTCAAGACTCATACAGGGGCATTTATTTACAACAACTATCATTTCAGAGCTGAAGCCGTGATCAGCCTATTTCCAGCAACTTTCGACTGAAGCCATAATCAGTTTATCTTCAACAGTCAGCTAATCTGGGACGAGTCCCCAAGTAGCTCTTCATGTCCTTCCTCAGAAGATCATCAGTTCAACACAGTTTTCAAGTGTGACAAATTTGGGTTCAAGACACTTTCTTTTCAAGAAAATTTAGCAGAGTTCTCGGTGTTGAGGAATTAAACTTCCAATCTTACCTTCACAAAAGAGTCAAACTCCATTATCGTAAACGTCCGCATTACCTGCATAGATCATTCACATATCATGCATAACAAAAATTCACACATAATACATAACAAGAGTGCTTCATTATCATTTGAATTTTCCAAGGTCTTATTACAGTTGACATGTCACCTTGAGATCAAAGTCCAACTTACTTGTCACCTACCAAAGCAAAACATCAGTTTGAGTTGTTTCTCTTTTTTCATTCAAAGCCAGTATTGGATGTTGTGATCTTTTCTCTCTTCTAAAGCCAATATTAGACGTTGAGTTTTCTCTTCATTCAAAGCCAGTATTGAATGTCAAGATCCCTTTCACTCATTCAAAGCCAGTATTGGATGATGTGACCTTTTCTCTGATCTAAAGCCAGTATTAGACGTTGAGTTTTTCTCTTCATTTAAAGCCAGTATTGAATGTCAAGAACCCTTTCACTCATTCAAAACCAGTATTGGATGTTGTGATCTTTTCTCTCGTCTAAAGCCAGTATTAGACGTTGAGTTTTCCCTTCATTCAAAGCCAGTATTGAATGTCAAGATCTCTTTTTCCATCCAAAGCCAGTATTCGATGTTGTTACCTTTTTCTTCATTCAAAGCCAGTATTGAATGTCAAGATCTCTTTTTCCATCCAAAGCCAGTATTGGATGTTGTTACCTTCTTCTTCATTCAAAGCTAGTATTGAATGTCAAGATCTCTTTCACTCATTCAAAGCCAGTATTGAATGTTGTGATCTTTTCTCTCGTCTAAAGCCAGTATTAGACATTGAGATTTTCTTCATTCAAAGCCAGTATTGAATGTCAAGAACCCTTTCACTCATTCAAAGCCAGTATTAGATGTTGTGATCTTTTCTCTCATCTAAAGCCAGTATTAGACGTTGAGCTTTTCTTCATTCAAAGCCAGTATTGAATGTCAAGATCTCTTTCACTCATTCAAAGCCAGTATTGGATGTTGTGATCTTTTCTCTCGTCTAAAGCCAGTATTAGACGTTGAGCTTTTCTTCATTCAAAGCCAGTATTGAATGTCAAAATTCCTTTCACTCATTCAAAGCCAGTATTGGATGTTATGATCTTTTCTCTCGTCTAAAGCCAGTATTAGACATTGATCTTTTCTTCATTCAAAGCCAGTATTGAATGTCAAGAACCCTTTCACTCATTCAAAGCCAGTATTGGATGTTGTGATCTTTTCTCTCGTCTAAAGCCAGTATTATACGTTGAGCTTTTCTTCATTCAAAGCCAGTATTGAATGTCAAGATCTCTTTCACTCATTCAAAGCCAGTATTGGATGTTGTGATCTTTTCTCTCATCTAAATCCAGTATTAGACGTTGAGCTTTTCTTTCATTCAAAGCCAGTATTGAATGTCAAGATCCCTTTCACTCATTCAAAGCCAGTATTGGATGTTGTGATCTTTTCTCTCGTCTAAAGCCAGTATTAGACATTGAGTTTTCCCTTCATTCAAAGCCAGTATTGGATGTCGTGTTTCTTTTCCGTCCAGCGTCTTTCTTGGACGACTCTGATGTAGCTTCAGATTTGGTCTCATCCTACATCTAATGTTCTTCTAGATGCTTATGATTGCCTTTTCCAGAGAGTTTCTCGCCTCATTCAATGCCATTCTTGGATGTCGCTGCTTGCCTTCTCGAGTTTTATCTTTTTTCCAAGTATTACTGGTTACTCCTTGTCACCCTGACAGATATCCAGAAGTATCTTGTTGTTCCCCGGCGTGTCTTTCCACGTCATTTCATCTGAACTACCACAAATTTCCAGTTTCGAGTCTTTCCACATTTCCACAGAGTCTGTCTCATCTCATACATCATTCAAAAAATATATATGTAAAAAAAAAAAGAGTCCATGCATTCATTCATGACATATGCTATCATCTCATCGCATCAGGGACAAAATTCAGGTCTGTTTGTATTTAATTACTTTCAGCCTATCTGGCTAAAAGATAATTAAATAGGGGCAGCTATTGTACCCTAAATTTTGCCCCTGACTTTTTCAGTCGCATTTTCATACCATATTTTATCATTCAGTCACAATCATTAATAAATACCTTCATTCATCACATTTGCATCCCATCTTTAAGTTTGCTCTTGTGTTGTTGACTAACTTCTAATCAAAATACAAAAAATATTTGTCTTTGTCTTTGCATATTTGTGTTTTGTAGGTACCGAGTCGAAGCATATGGCAAATAAGGTTTTCCAGTATGATTTCCCTAAAATCTCTTTGCAAAGAAAAAGAATTAAAAATTTCATTTTTTTTCACTGTACAATCGATTGCTCCTAGAGTGCAATCGATTGCACAAAGTGAATTTTGCATATTTTTTTTGGAAAAATACACTGTGCAAATCGATTTGCAATATAGTGCAATCGATTTGCATAGAGCGAAATTTGAAAAAAATCTGCATTTTAAACTTGTCAAAATTTTTGGCTCCAATTTTCCTTCACTTTTGAAAGATGTATAATTAATTCAAATTTTAGTGCCAATTTTTCATTTTTTAAGAAGAATTATCATTAATTCAAATTTTGGCTCTAATATTTGAAAAAATTATCATTAATTCAAATTTTGGTTCCAAGAATCAATTACCAAATTACCACTAATCCCAATCCTAAACTCTATAAATAGAGCCCTCATCTCATTCAAATTTCAAGCTTTTGATAGCCAAA